CAACAACAACAACAACAACAACAACAACAACCCACAAACAAAACTCAACACTGTAGTGAATTGGAGTTGATTAGGCTGGACAACAAACAAGACAGTTGAATGGTTTTAATCTTTATTTACAATCATTTTACTATACATAATGCACTGTGCAGCTTTTTTTTGTTTTAGTACTATCTTTAGTATCTTTAAAACAGAAACAATACAATCTCAGTTGTTTGATAAAAGACAATGAAAATTAAAATCTTTATAGCAGTCAAAAAAAAACAAAAAACCCCCAAAACAAAACAAAAAACAGCAACACAAAGATTGCGAGATGAATATAATTACACCGATGAACTGTGTGAATCAAATGAGTGGAGTAAAGGAGGACCACACTGGCCATAACTCAATGGTAAAGCTGCAAGACAAGTATAGAGAAATGTTTGAATATTGAATATTTTTAAAAAAAATATTAGTTGCATACAGAAATACAATATTTAACATGATGAGAAAGAATCTGAGAACATATGACAAGTGAAAAAAAAAGCAAATATCCAAACTTGTTCACCTTGTTTTAGGCTACATCTACACAGGTATTTTGGTAAGTGTGGCTTTTTCTATGCATTTTTGTCTTTTGAATCCATGAAAACAGACTCTCTGAAAAACTCTTTTTGGATCTCTTTCACCTACCGGATTGTGACACAGAATCTAAGATCTTCTGAAACTAAGGGTGGTTCAGGGAAGATTTGACTCATTAGATCATCACTCACTCTCAATAATACTCTAATTCCTACAAATTATTTGGGGTCCCTCCCACCCACACACACACACACACACACACACACACACACACACCTCTGTAATACATGTAGACACAAATAGTAATTATCTTCTGTTGGTTTCCAAGCATTACTGTGTAGTAACATTCACCTGTCCAAGGCTATAGCTTACGATTTCTGCAGGGTAGTGTTTTTATATCCGTGTTCCTGAAAATGTGACACCATTTCCTCAGATTTCATTTCAAATCCCCTTTACTGGTCAGCGTCTTCTGACTCATTGAAATTTACCAAAAGGGAAAATTTTTGTAAGCCACTTCAGATGAAAGCTGTTGGCATGTACTAGAACTCTCTATTGGTAACACATGTATGTCACTTTGTGATCTTTAATGATTTTGCAGCCCAATAAATATATTCTCACCTGGCTATACTCCAAAGACAGTTTATATTGTAATTGAGGTTATTTAAAAAGATATGAAAAGTTTATCACCATATCACCAGTGTACCATTCCCACTGAACAATAGGTTTAAGAAAAAGAAAAAACAACATTCACTGGTGGAATATTCCATTCACCATAAGGTGGTGGCTTGCGACTGGTGTAACACCATATCTGGACCGCCCTACTGGGGGCATACCACTAGAAACGATTCTGTGTTCATGGACTTTTATTCTCTGATGAAGGCGTGTGTACTGAAACAGCTTTGTGTATTTACATACAAATAAAGGCTGGAATTTGTTTGGGGTTTTTTTTAAAAAGGGAGTGATTTATTTTTATTTTTTTTTTAGTTGGGGGGGTTTCACTGAGATATAGTTCAAAATTTACTTGGGGAAAAAGTGTCCATGTGGATGTAGGCACGCAAGCTTAATTCATGTCATTAGTAACATCTGTGTTCACCCTGCTCATATCAAAACAGCTGCTCTCAAATATGTCCATTACAAACAAAAAGAATAAGCTTAAGAGACAACTGGTTCAACAACAATGCTTCTGTACATGTACAGGGTCAGCAAGGGGACAATGAATCATGCTTTTGTTTTCTTTAAGCTACAGGGGGGAAAAAAGTACCTGACATTTAATTTATCGTGCCAAGAACATGGGAGATTTTATTTTGTGGGTTTCAACTATTACACTGTCCTATACGCCACAGAGAGATGTCATTCAAGTAAAACCTAGTAGAGGTCTAATCAACTAAATTAGGCCGAACATCTGTTTGAGTATAAAATGAGTTTATATCAACTAATTTCCAAGTTCATTAAAGGAAAGGAGAAAAAAATGACAACTCGACTATTTCAAAAATAAGTAACAATTGATTGATTATAATGCCGGCAATTCACACATCTTTAGGAAAGAGCTCATTTCTGACACTTTTTCACATAATCATTCTTTGGTTTACAACCCAGGACTTGTGACCTTAGCTGAGGACAGGAATGAAGATCAACTGATGATACTGATCCATCTGCCAGTTTCCCATTCCACTCCATCTTCACTCATGTACAAGACCCTGAGATACTTGAACATCTCTATTTGGAGCAGCAACTCGTTCCAAAGCTAGAGCAGGCACGCAACCTGCTTGTGGCTAAGAATCAGAACTTGAGGTGCCAATTCTCCTCCCAGTTGCATCATAGCCACAATCCACAAATTCTATGTGGCATTAGCATGCATCATCCAAGACAGCTACATAACTTACAGACATTTAGGGCAAATCGTATCCACCTCAAGAGCCCTGCCACCAAGTATTAAATTGAATTACCTCCAAAACCTTGCTCTCTTGTGTTTTACCAGTCAAAATAATAATAAAATATCCAGTCTATTCCATCCCATCCACATTAAACTGGTTGCACTGCCCAAATATGCATCAAAGTTACTCCAGTCCCATCAAACTATGGATCAACTTCACTCACTAGCTCAGGCTCCTTACCTGCTAGACATTTCATGTACCGCTAGCTTGTTTTGGGACTTAGCTAATGCTGCTATTTTATGTAATGCATTTCAAGACTCAAAGATTCCTCAGACAAGTGAAAAGAAAGACTGTAACCACAAAAAAGCAAAAATGATATTGGACGCATCGAGAGCAGTTCTATTAAAAAAAAACAAAAAACAACAACCTATCACTCAGTGTATGGTGCTTTGTCTTGACAATGGTGTCAAAGCATGTATGTAGAGTAAATCAAACATGGGAAAGATTTTGAATTGAAAAGGTTGCGGGATAGCGTGGCAGGTCTGAATGAAATTCAGTACACTATTGCTTTTCATGTGGTAAAAATGGTTCAAGCTAAAAAAAGAGGGCTGGTAAGTGTATACACGTAGTCCAAGTGAGACTTAACAAATGAAAGATAAAGTGATAAAACAGAAGGAATTTAAATAGCGATTATGCCATCACTGCACACTCAGTGTACTTACTTGCAAGAAACTTACGAAACAATTTCTGCTGTACATGTAATTTATTTTTTCCTAGAAGGTTCTACATTTAGAACTTGCATAATTTCATCTTGGACAGCCACTACATAAAAATCCATTATTTGCTATATCAGTGTTTCCCAACCTTTTGGAGCCACGGCACATATTTCATTTTAGAAAAATCACACATGCTAGGGCCTTCATCTGGGTTGGAATTTTCTCCAGGACCCAGGTCAGATCGACTACTTTTCTTTTCAGATATTTATCGATTGCTATTCTCACAGCATGACTATTATGTAATTTCTTCTTGGTTTTCTTCTGTTTTACTGGCAGTTAGCAACCCATTTAATTACAGCAGGTAGTTGTACTGCCCTCTAGTGGAAGAAAATATAATTGTTCTGCCCGCTGATTGCTTAGAGCAGCGGTCCCCAACCTTTTTTGCGCCACGGACTGGTTTATGCCCGACAATATTTTCAAGGACCGGCCTTTAAAGTGTCGCGGATAAATACAACTAAATAAAACTAGCTTTGAAAGGTACCGAAAAAAAGAAGATTTATTCATAACACACGTGAAAAGACTCAGGAAAACAGAGTTAACGATAAAAACGATAACAAAATAACGCTGAAAACCGATAAAAACCCTGAAAACCATACATTTCACACCTGAGCCTCAAGTTTCGCGGCCTGGTTCCAAACGACTCTCGGACCGGTACCGGTCCAAGGCCCGGGGGTTGGGGACCGCTGGCTTAGAGTACTAATCAGATGGAATCAGATCATCTTCCACGGCACACCTATGTGCCGCAGCACAGTAGTTGGAAAACACTGTGCTATATAAAGCATTAAGTTTCAATGAAAGATGTATTTTTTGGTGACATATCCAACAACAAAATAGTTAAGATAATTTAACCTTTACTGCCAATAATTTCAATTAACAGAGTGCGCTGGACAGTGCAGTCTCTCTTTACTTTAGTGCTTAAAACTCTTTGCCACTTTGAAGATGTGTCCAAAAGACAATACAATGTCAACAGATTGATTAAAAAAAGACAGTCTGTGAAAATTAAAATGTTCACAGTATAGTTATTTAAAAAACAAACAAACAAAAACAAAAAAACTAAGAACACTGTCCCACCTTTCCTATTCATCCAAGCAAAGAGATGAACATGACCACACCCATGAACTGTGTGAAGAGGATGAGTGGAGTGAAGAAGGACCACACTGGCCATAATGCAATGTTAAAGCTGCAAGACAAATAATTGAGAAATGTTTGAGTATTGATCATTTGTGAAATATTAGTTGAATACAGATGCTCCCTGTTACAAAAAGATGTGAGAGGACAGGCAACAGAGCTGTTTCTCTATCAGATTCAGCTCCTCTGCCCCTTCATCATATACAGGCATTTTATTTTATTTTAGGTTTTAAACACCACATGCTATCAGTTGCTATAATGCAATATATCTGTCTTTAATAATAATAATAATAATAATAATAATAAAATAATAATCATCATCATCTTTTGAGAATAAAGAAGTATGGGATAAATAAAGTATTATGATCTTTAATTTTTTTTTTGCACTCACAAACAAACAAAAAACTACTAAATAAATACTGTGCTGTATGCATTGTGGCAAAGTATTGAATCACCTCTTTTTTTCCTATTGAATCACATTTCTTTCTGTTTTTTTCCTAAGGAAGCAACACGGTTTAAAAATGCTCCAGAGCAACATCTTTATGCATGCTCAATCATAGAGGTAAGGAAATCCCAAAAAGTTGATTCTGTTCATCTGGACGTGGTGTTTTCAGTGGGAGAAATGATTTGTCACTCATCCAAATGACTTCTTCAGTCTCAGCTGACTGCAGCTTTCCCCAACCTTTTAAACGGTACATTTGCATAATGAGTGAAAATACAACTGGACAAGTGGGTGAAAAATCTGTCTGACAGACAACTCACCCAAGCAGAGAAAAACATCCTTGCGAAAGGGTAGAGCTTTGCTGTGATACCGACACAAATATGGCTAGTGGAACCGATCACAGCCATAGAAACAGCAATTTGAAACAACAACATTGAAGATGTGGAAGCAGAGCAACTGCGGACAAAGGTTTCAGCCTGTCTAAACAATGCAAAGCTTTGAGGAGCATGGAGGAGAGCAAAGCACTCACATCCCTTAGTAATGACGAAAACAATATCATTCTTCCGGCAGACAAAGGTAGGTGCACAGTTTTGCTAAGCCAGAAAGACTATCATGAGAACATTTTGCCACAGTGACAAAAATACTTATGAGCCCCTGAAACGAGACCCAGGACGTGGTTACAGGAAGATGGTGTCTGAAGTAGTTAGAACAAGACAATGCCATTGACCAGACCTCATACCACAGGATATACCCAGGGGAAGCTACACCAAGTCCATGTGGTTTGCTAAAAATGCATAAACAGGGTGTACCTTTAAGACCAATTGTCTTTATGATCAACTCAGTCACCTATAACATCTCGGTTCTGGATTCAATCCTCAACCCGTTAGTAGGCACCTCTAAACACCACATCAAGAACACCTTGGATTTTGTTGAGAGATGTCATTATGTAGGCAGATGAAACCATGGTCTCGTACGATGTTACATCTCTCTTCACTTGCATCCCAGTCACTGAAGCAGTGGAGGTAGTTTGTAAGCGATTACAAGATGACCCCAACCTCAGCACCAGAACCAATCTCAGCACCGACCAGCTAGAGTAGGGCGATATGGCCAAAAATATTTATCACGATATATATTTGAAAATTTGCGATAATGATATAACTGACTTTACTAGTGCCAAAAAAACAACAAAAAACATTCATGTATTGTCACTTAAACAAGCAGCTGTTTTTATGTGCATTAAAGCTATATAAATCCAGTGTGTAACCACTGAGAGCTAAAACTCAGGTGAGATTTCAAAGCTGTGCCGGTGATTGGACATCAGCCGCTGATCAAGTGGGTTCTCCTATAAAGTGCTCTGTAAAAAAACTGTATTTACTTATCTTTTGCAGAAAAATGCGCCAACATTGCGTTATATCGAACAACGACTGCCCAGCTAAACTGTGACTATCACCAGGTAACGTGTTTCTTGAATTAGCAGCAGGTGTTAAACAGCTGACAGGTGAGGAGGGGGATGCATGCAGGTAAACTGAGGGCTTGTTGAGCTTATCGCTGGTGTCGTGAGAAAAATGTCAGCTCGTTCTGTATGTTACAGAAGCACAGAGACACAAGACCAGGCCGAAAGAGACGATCGTTCGGTGAAAATGAGAATCTGCAGATGCAACATGTGGAACACGGAGAGTGGAATATGTAAACAAACCGGTTAATGTAAAAACAAACAAACAAACAAACAAAATACAGTTACGATGGAACACCGGGGCTGTGAGCTCGGTGCACTCTGTCAGCTGACCGTTAGCAGAGCTAGTGACATCTCTGAAAACATGTCCTATGTTGATAACCTGACCAGACATGTAAAGATTAGGCCATGACATTCGCGGCTAAAACACTATTAAAAAAGTGTAGTTGGTGACAGAAAAATGGGGTATTTTAAAACTTTACACCACCACCATTGCTGCCTGAGATTTGAAATGCATTCTGGGATACCTGGCTGCCCCAAGTCCACACAAGCAATCGATTATCTAGGATCAACCTGTCTTGACTTACTTTGCACGGCAACCAAGAAAATGTTAGAGAAACTGCAGTGGCAGCGTTAAACATTTGTTTAATTATATATTTCCAATTTTAATTAATTATTGCCACATTTAATTATTTATTGGTGTATTTAATTAATTCATTATGTCAGTCCTGGCGTTCCATACACATCAAGTTCACCAGGGAGAATTTGAAAAATGACAGGCTAGGCTTCTTAGACTTGAAGATTTACATTCGTAAAGGTGGACATTTGTTGATGTGTACCGTAAACCAACGCATACGGATGAGTATTTAAGGTTTGACTCTCATCATCCACTGGAGCACAAACTGGGTGTCATCAGCACGCTATAAAACAGTGGGAACACCATCCCCACAGATACAGCGGCCAGGGAAGCTGAAGAACATATCGAGAACGCCCTGGACATTTATCAAAGCTGGGAAGACACCTAAAGGAAGCTCCAGGCGATCCAGGAGAGAAGAAGGACAAGAGCTTCCTCAGGAAAACCCCGTAGTGATCCCTTATGTGTCAGGAATATCAGAACAGCTGAGACGCATTTTCTCCTAACACCAGAAACACACTGCGTCAAAAATTGGTCCACCCCAAGGATCGGATGTCCCGACACAGAGCAGTATAGTGTATGCTGTTAAGTGCCAGGAGGATAACCATGATTTATACATTGGGAAAACCAAACAACCTTTGGCTAAGCGGATGGCACAACACAGAAAAGTCAGGCCAGGAGTCTACTCACACCTACAGGCCAGTGACCACTCTTTCAATGATCCTCGACAGGGAGGAACACTGGTTTGAGCAGGGGGTCAAGGAGACCATTTACTTGAAAAGGGAAAGACCATCTCTTAATTGAGGAGGTGGACTATGGGTGCATCTTTCACCATCTTACAATGCTGTGACTGCAGCAGTTTCCCAACTCTCTGTGAATGGTACTCATAGCAACCACTGATCAATGGGCTTTGATCAATGGTTGTTGATTAGTGGTGATGAAAATTTGGATATTAATGATCAAGAAAGTGACCTCACGCCCATTGTTCGTCAGTGGTGCTAGTTTCAGTTATTGTGCAAATGTACTGTTTAAAAGGATGGCGAAACCTGCAGTCACCTGAGACTAAAGAAGTCACTTGGATGAATCAACTTTTTGGGGCTCTTGATCAATAGTTCTCAAGGTTCTCTGAAGGCCTTTCAAAGCTTTTCTTTGGACATTAGCTGCTTTTTCACTCAACTATTAGTCCAGTCCTTGTACCTGTCCATTTTCAAAGGATTTTGTTTTTGTTGTTTATTGTCCACTTAACACTGACCTATGAATCATTGAAGCATAAAAAAGCACCCAAGTCAAGGGATGACCCAGTGTTGTGTCTACATATAACAGACAACTTAAAGAAAAAAACAAACCAAAAGCAGCCTGTCACAAAAAACACACAATTTATTTCTACTTCCTTCACTGGCCCTAGCTGTCAGGAAGGCATTCTCAAGGAAGAAAAATAGAGAGAGAAAAAAAAAAGCTGATTTATCCCAAATTAGACATGAACTGAAATGAAATATGTGGTAAGAGGTCTTATGGAACGATTAATCCAAATTTCAAATTTCTTGTTCAAATCATCACTTTCATGGTCAGAAGAGGTACAAAAATGAGTACCTACAGCCATTTGTAAAACTCGGTGAGGCTCTGGCATGGTTTGAGGCTACATTTCAGCCAATGGTGCTGGAAATTGTGTCGAAAATGATGGAATTATGAATGCAGAAAAACACTGGCAGATTTTGATCCACCATGCAATATGAACTGAAAGATGACTGACAGCTTTATTTTTCAGCATAACAATGATCCCAAACACACTGCCAATGAAGTAAAAACTTAACTGGATAGAGAAACCAAAAGTGCAACATTATCAGTTAGTGTTGTGCGATATGACCAAAAATCTCCTGATATAACCCATCTGTTATCCCGATAATGACACATATCACAATATAGTACATTTTCTGTAGATTTTGTGATTATATGTGTTGATTATATAAACAGAAGTAATATTTCTTGTTACATTTGAATTAAATCAAAAGTGAAACAAATATGACCCTCACATGGCGTTAACCACATAGCGTATTGACACAAACTAGATGACCCGTTGCACTCATGAAAGCGCTTCCCTGAGCCGTCCAGCTATCATTACTGTCCCTGTATGGTTGTCAAGAAACTAACCTCTGCAGACACTGATTGCAGAGTGTTCGGTTTCGGATGCAGTGCACCATTAAACTCTTACAAGGATGTGTTGTTCGACTCACCCACATATCTGTTGTTCCAGCGTAGTATGCTACGTTGCTGATTTCCTCCAATACTTACCCGACACTCGTAATATAAAACAGGCAAATCGACTCGTGGTGAAGTGTTTTCGGCTGAGAGTTATGTACCTGGAATCGAATGTTTTGACCAGTGCACAAAATCATATAACGAGCTCCTAAATTTGTTTTTGGCTGGTTCTTGTGTGGTGCCAATGAAAGAATATTTCAGTTAATTCTGTGTTTTGTGATAGAGTATAAATATGAAACAATAAGCGTTTCGATATCATCTTCTAATATAATTCATCATATCGCACAGCCCAACTGTCAGTCATAGATTGGCCTCCCCAGTGCCCAGATCTCAACATTATTGAAGCAGTGTGGGATCATTTTGCCAGAGAATGGAACAAAAGTCAGCCAACATCCAAAGAAGAGCTTTAAATGTCCTTCAAGAAGCCTGGAGAACTATTCCTGAAGACTACTTAAATAAATGGTAAGAAGATTTGCCTAAGGGAGTTCAGACAGTGTTAAAAAATAAAAATGGTTATACAAATTCATTATACCATATTGATATTACCATATATACACACGATATAGATTTTCAAGCTTTTGAGAACTGTACAAACTCTATTTTTGCCTTATATACTGCATTGCATATTGCAAATATGCAAGACAATATATAAAGAAAATAATTTGCTGCCCCTACTTTCAATTTCCCTAGAAAATTATAAAGAAATGAGGGTTGGTTCAACATCTTTTTTGCACAGTAGTATACACACAAACACCTGCAAGAAAATGTCTAAACCTGCTCCATTCCACTTTCACAAATAGCCTTGATTAAATACCAATATTTGTTTTTAACCTGCTATCAAAATGGCTGCCATTAAACAAGTCAATTATTACATATTTTAAATTGTGCTGAAATGCTAGGCACTTTTTACTGTTCATAACATTACACACATACTTTTAGATCAGTTTGAGTCAATAGAGGCTAGCTTTAGCAGCTTTCGTTCCCTACAGATTAAGATCCACTTTGATTACATTACATGCCACAGTAACATTTAAATCTTACTGGACAGTCAGTTGCCTACCATTATCTCTTACTATATACCCAAAAGAATATAAAATTGTTTATGCAAAAACATTTAAAGAAGAAAAGTACTATAGCCTTTGCTATACATGTTGTTGGCATATAAACCTATGGCTGCATTTTTTGTGTGAAAACAATGCTTTGGAGTTAACTTGTAATTACGCAGGATGTGTCCCGTTTTACCTGCATGATGCAGCGATAAATGCTGCAGTGGTGATTGGAGGAATGGCAGGGTACTCTTGGTCATAGTGCTGGATGCCTTTGTACCACTCCAAGTACACAATGCAAAATGTGGCCAGAGACAAGCAGATCCCCAGGAGTAACAGACCAACGCTGAACCACCAACTGGCAAAACAGGTTAAAATGAGGATCAGTGTCAACATCTAAAGCTAGTCTATTCAAACAGAGAACATGCTGCATCATGAAAACATTCGCACGAGTATCATATAATCACAATGTCATTGAAAGAGAAGAAAAAAAAAAAAACAAAAACAAAAAAAAACACCTCTTGGGTTTTGATTTTCAAGCACCTTTCATAACGACAAAGTAGTGCTTGGTGATACAGTTAAAAAATAAAGAAAGAAAATGTAATGTTAAAAAAAGGTATTCCTTTATAACACCAACACTACAATTATGTAAGTAATATAAAAAAATTTTTTAAACTGAAATACTGATTTGACAAAAATTATGTGAAATATATTAAAAAAAACAATGTGCACAGAGGAGGTGACGCCTTTAAGAAAATAATCCCTCACTTCTTATTGTGGGAAGTTTTCTGTTATTGCAGTTATCAGCATCTAGCTATGATTAAGTTACAAAAGTATCTGAGTATGGCATTTGGTGGAATTGGTGCACCCCAGAAAAGAAAAGAAAAGAAAAGAAAAGAAAAGAAAGACTCTTTTTATACAAGGGTATTGTGCTAATCTGCATCTCCTTATCACTGCATCATTAGAGTGCAGAGTAGAGAACAGTCACTCTATATGAGATAAGCTACAGTAAAGACATTAACAGCAGAAAATATACAAGCTAATGTCTGTGTGCACATGCACCAGCTAGTGAACCAAACAGCAGTACTGTTCTATAGTCCAGGCAAAATGCAACAACTAAGCGGACAGTAACCTGCTTAGCTAATAGAACTCATGTTGAGTATCATCACAAATTATGCATTTTCCACAAAATGCAATGAAATATACTGATGTTGATGATATTCAGAAAGAACTACAGCAAACACTTTAAAAGAACAATGTTTACTGTGATTATCTGAGAAATTTTAATAATAGTATAACGCGGAATGAGTGAGCAACAAAGCACATTCACCTTTTTATATCATCATTTTCCATGATGTGTCGGAGGAAGTCCACGTAGTATGTCACAACTACCGAAGCCACAATCCAGAAAACAGAGTGTTTATTGATGCGAGGGAGTGGTTTGACCTCTTTTTCCTCTTGACCTGAAAGATAAAAAAAAACCCCAAAAACAAACAAACACAAAAGCACAAAAATTATTTGCATTAACTCAAGCCCTTTTTAAGAGCATACTTAATTACAGGACACCTCAGAAGAACAGACCGTACACTGTTACGATGTTTTACTATAAATTAGATGCTAAGTAAAGTTATTATATTAAACACCCTGCATTACTCAAAGAAAACTGAAGTTATAGCACCAGATGACATAAATCAAATCTAAGATTTGTCTCATCAGAAGGCATACGACAAATCTCTGTTGTACAAATTCCAGCCTTTAACGTTTAAGCAGCTTCTGAGGCAAAACTGATAGGTTTCCTTCAGACAATCTTCCCTCTCAGAGGGCTATTAATCTCTATAATTTAATGGTTGATTAAACGTATCAGAGATTGTTGTTGGCTGCTGAAGTGGCTTAGCGTGCTACTCCACTATACAAAGAGTTCACTATGAACTTGACGCCCTAGATAAGTAGCTGCTGTACATCTTAATCAAAGTTAAGCCTAATGGTTCATCCTTCATGTAACATTGGCATAGTACTATAATACATTATCTTGCCATAGAGACCCAGTGATGATAAGCAGGTATGGGTGTCATATACACAAAGCCATTCATAAGAAATCTCAATCTCGGTTATCTTACAGTTTACACTGGCAAAGGCACGACCCTTGAATTGATAACTGTGTAGGGGTAGAGTGTCCCCTGTATTATGTTGCTGAGCTGACACAGAGTTTCTTCACAGTCTCACAGTCAAAACAATCAAGAATTGGTGGATTTCTGCCAGCTAAGGCCTCAGAGTTGGACAAGTGTCGGTTGTACAAGCTGCCTACAAGACACCATTACAATAAAAAGGCTGCAGTCACAATGACCAGCCGCTGTGTTACAGCTGAGGGAGTCTGCGTTTAATTACCTGTAGCTTAATACCACAACACCGGGACGAAGTAATGAAAAGAAAGAAAAACGTTAAATGGTTTAAAGAAAGACCAAAAAAAAAGAAAGAAAGGTTACTTTTCTATCAACCTCTGCTCGGGTCAGCAGCTGTACCTGTGGCAGACAACCACCATTTGTACTCAAGTGACAGTTTGACACCTTTAAAGTCACAGACCGGGGTTAACTCTGTGGATAACAGTGACGGTGCTTCCAGCGTAAATGTTCGTTCAGAAGAAGAAGACGAAGAAGAAATATTAGTTCAAACTGGCTAATAACGTTAGCCAGCATACATTTTCTAAACCTTACTCTTTTCATCTTCGGTACCCGAATCTGCTGGTCGCATAAGCAATTCTGCATCTCTTCTAAATCGATTCCGTAAGTTTGCAAGTTCACTGTCGTTCAGCATTTTACTGACGCTACCATTAACTTAACATGAACATTAAATGTTAGCTAGCTGGGTATCAGAAGGCACTTCCTGTGACACACTGAGTCGCTTTTTTATGACGCACTTGAACGAGACGGTTGTAGTTTTAAAACCCATTCTATAATAAAATGATAAGAATAACTAAATGTTTAATCATTTGACTTTAAAGCGATTATAAAATAGCTGAAGTAAAACGTAAAAACATAGAATACTTTCTGAAAGGTTAACGTCAGGTATATATTCAATTGGATCTTTCTAAGATAGAATGCTTAATTCAAAGTATTCTCAGTCTCTTCAATCTTTTAACTCAAGTGACAGATACGACTGTTTTTTCTTATATCTTTACACGTATAAAAATAGAATTTGGCAAAGAGGAATGGGCCGTTCAGAAATTTTCTGTCGTTTTAAAAAGAATATCTATAAAAAACATTTTGTGCCCGTCTTTTATTAAGGAGCAGCTGGAAAGGTAGAGCAACAACCAAACTGGACCACTGGTCTGGAAAGAAATGCACGTCTAGTGTAACTGAGGATTAAGGGGAGGGTGGTCTGATGGGGTACTTCTGATGCCAACCCTCATAACATTTGCAGAATACATAGTCGCTGGCTTTACTCCAAGCCTAATCTTGAATGTGAATGTATACATTTACATAGCTCTGGCAGCAATCTGACACTTCTCTTATTGTTGCTTGTAATTGTGAGCCCTAAATTTTTTCTGTTGAGACTTGAGACAGATTTTTTTTATATACTTAATGGTTTGTCTATCACCCAGTTTAGCAGCTATAAATCCCAGAGTCCAGCTTTTTGTTGGAATGTTTTTATTATTTTTGTAATATATGACGATTGGACTGACATGTTGCTAAAATTCTAATTATTTAAATCACATAACTGCACAACTCCTGCATTTCGTCATCTTTAGGGAAAATGAAATGACTCCTCTTATTAAAATACCTCACTGAAATAAAACTGTGTAACAGTGCTTAACTTCGTATAGATGTGACACTTACAGTGGGGCAAAAAAGTATTTAGTCAGCCACCGATTGTGCAAGTTCCCCCACCTAAAATGATGACAGAGGTCAGTAATTTGCACCAGAGGTACACTTCAACTGTGAGAGACAGAATGTGGGGGAAAAAAAAAAAAAAAAAAGAAAAAAAATCCATGAATCCACATGGTAGGATTTGTAAAGAATTTATTCGTGAATCAGGGTGAAAAATAAGTATTTGGTCAATAACAAAAATACAACTCAATACTTTGTAACATAACCTTTGTTGGCAATAACAGAGGTCAAACGTTTACTATAGGTCTTTACCAGGTTTGCACACACAGTAGCTGGTATTTTGGCCCATTCCTCCATGCAGATCTTCTCGAGAGCAGTGATGTTTTGGGGCTGTCGCCGAGCAACACGGACTTTCAACTCCCGCCACAGATTTTCTATGGGGTTGAGGTCTGGAGACTGGCTAGGCCACTCCAGGACTTTCAAATGCTTCTTCCGGAGCCACTCCTTTGTTGCCCGGGCGGTGTGTTTTGGATCATTGTCATGTTGGAAGACCCAGCCTCGTTTCATCTTCAATGGATGGAAGGAGGTTTTGGCTCAAAATCTCACGATACATGGCCCCATTCATTCTGTCCTTAACACGGATCAGTCGTCCTGTCCCCTTGGCAGAAAAACAGCCCCATAGCATGATGTTTCCACCCCCATGCTTCACAGTAGGTATGGTGTTCTTGGGATGCAACTCAGTATTCTTCTTCCTCCAAACACGACGAGTTGATACCAAAAAGTTCTACTTTGGTTTCATCTGACCACATGACATTCTCCCAATCCTCTGCTGTATCATCTATGTGCTCTCTGGCAAACTTCAGACGGGCCTGGACATGCACTGGCTTCAGCAGCGGAACACGTCTGGCACTGCGGGATTTGATTCCCTGCCGTTGTAGTGTGTTACTGATGGTGACCTTTGTTACTTTGGTCCCAGCTCTCTGCAGGTCATTCACCAGGTCCCCCCGTGTGGTTCTGGGATCTTTGCTCACCATTCTCATGATCATTTTGACCCCACGGGATGAGATCTTACGTGGAGCCCCAGATCGAGGGAGATTATCAGTGGTCTTGTATGTCTTCCATTTTCTGATGATTGCTCCAACAGTTGATTTTTTCACACCAAGCTGCTTGCCTATTGTAGATTCACTCTTCCCAGTCTGGTGCAGGTCTACAATACTTTTCCTGGTGTCCTTCGAAAGCTCTTTGGTCTTGGCCATGGCGGAGTTTGGAGTCTGACTGTTTGAGGCTGTGGACAGGTGTCTTTTATACAGATGATGAGTTCAAACAGGTGCCATTCATACAGGTAACGAGTGGGGGACAGAAAAGCTTCTTACAGAAGACGTTACAGGTCTGTGAGAGCCAGAGATTTTCCTTGTTTGAGGTGACCAAATACTTATTTTCCACCCTGATTTATGAATAAATTCTTTACAAATCCTACCATGTGAATTCATGGATTTTTTTTCACATTCTGTTTCTCACAGTTGAAGTGTACCTCTGGTGCAAATTACTGACCTCTGTCATCATTTTAAGTGGGGGAACTTGCACAATCGGTGGCTGACTAAATACTTTTTTGCCCCACTGTATATCACAATTTTATAAACCAAAAATAAATAAGTTTAAAAAAAAAAAAAACTTAGTTCTGTTCAAAACTCTTGAGCCACCCAATCTATCTGAAGAGGCCAATCCATGACTGATAGTGTTTCACTGATTTTTGTTTTTTTCTTTCCCGGTCTGCTTTTACTGCATTGGCAGTGTGTCTGGGATCATTTTCATGCTGCAAAATTAAACCTTTTCTAATCAGATACTTTCCAAATTGTACTGCCTGGTGGATCAAAATCTGATGGTACTATTCTATGCTCTTAAATCCAATAATTTTAAACGATCTCCAAACAAGGCTGGCTGAAATGGAGCTCCAAATCATGACAGAGCCGTTTAGTGACCATTTGTGATGAGGCTTCAACAAAAACTACAAGGCCAGATGCATCTTTTCGCTCCTGTGTCAAGTCTTTGCTGGTTTTTTTCCTCATTCTTAAGGGTGGCTTTCACATCTGCAACAGATGCCATTTTCTTTTCTATTCCAGTATATTAAAATCCTTCAGCTACATCGCACACCATGTCAATCTATGCCAACTTTTCTTTTTGGCAAACACTTTATTCATGCAAAAATGTTATTTTGTCTTTGAAACCTTGTTATTTTCTGCATTTTGTAGATCACATAACCAGGAATGGATTATATTGGGTTTTTCTGGTCAGCCTGCTGATTACAAAGTCCCCAAAGACACAATATAAAAATTGGTTGTTTTTTAAGCTGCCTGTGCAGGCACAACATCTGGAAATTCCTTGAGTTAGGTAGCTTTTCTACGCTTGAATAATTCATAGATCAGTGAAAGAAAATGGAGAGCTATACAGACTAGACTGAAAATAAGTGAAATGCAGTGAATGTCCAAAGAAAAACTAAAACTGTAAGAACTATTGCTCAAGACCACTTAAAAAAAATATTTTTTTGAGGAAGTCTGGCTCTTTGTAAGTAAAATATAAATAACAACATTTTACACAGAGCTGTACGTTTCATAATTTCACTTTGATACCAACGGCATGTTATTAATCATATACAGCAGATTAAGGCTTGAATGAATGCATTTGTTTTGCAGTGAAGATGTAGTTTCAGCATTCTGGGGGGTCTGGATTAAATCAACAGAATTAAGTTCAGCTGAGCCCAGGTAGACTAGAAAACATCATTTTAATACTACCAAACTTCAGTTACAGCTTGACTAAAGCCCAAAGTATGTAATATACAATTACAAGGTAAGCAGTGTGATGAATGAGCATCAGTGTTAAACCTGCTGGGATTAGCTGAGCTTCATAAAGCTGGGCAGATTTCCTCCTGTTTGTGTGTCTGCGTGTGCGTACAGGGTAAAGAGACTGCTCATTCTAGTCGTGCAAAATCAGACAGCATTAAAACTTCACCTGAGGCTGACACCAAGCGTCTTGCCTCTATGGGGCTTCTGTATCCCTGGCCAAGTGAGCCCCGTTCGGGGTGCCGAGGAATGTGCATTAACTTCGTCCCGTGTGAGAGTCTAATTCACCTCAGGTGCACCTCTCCCGTTACCCTTCCCCCACTCGAACATCCAATCCCACAGATAAGGTGCCATTTCCCAGCCTTACCGCGAGCTTGGAATGCGTAACAGAGCAGCCATCTATCACAATTGTCATACATTAAACAGTACTAAAATTTTTAAGTCAAACAGGAACCGGACACTTAAATCGGTGGTAAAAGCATTTTATCTTCAACATCATGTCAACTGTATTAAAAGACAACAATAAGACAATGATGGCTTTGAAATTAAAAAAAAATCTATGCAATATGTCAAAAGGAGTCTACTTTACAAGTCTAACTCTATCTTTCAAAACTCTAAGCTTTGGATTTTTGTTGATCTTGTTGTTGAAAAGTGCTAGCACTTCTTCCTCCTTCTTAAAATTCCTATCACCAGTGTAGGAATAGTAGGCAGCCAAAATCTGAAAAACATGAGCAAGCTTTTACTTTAGTGTTAATAAAAGATTATAGATCTTTGAAACTTTAAGAGTTTGATATACAAATAATGTGTGAATGTGTGTGTGAATGGGTGGATGACTGAATGTGTAAAGCGCTTTGGGGTCCTGAGGGACTAGTAAAGCGCTATACAAATACAGGCCATTTACCATAAACAACTACATCCTCATTTCATATAGCAATGAAAACACTTCATGGCTCACCTTCTTTCTGAGTTTTTTCACTGACATTTCCTGGTCAGGTGACTCTCTCAGTACTGCCTTGATGTTCCCCTTCCAGTTAAATTTACCTGATGAGAAACAGAAATCAGCTTTCAGTACAGACACTAATCACCAAGGGTCACTTTCTCACTCTGAACAAAAGAGGCAACACTGACCTCTGCTGCCTAATCACTGACTAATCATTTAATAAAGGAGGGCAATCTTAGTCTCCACTGTACCTTTAGTAGCAGCTCGATCCTCAGTCTCCTCTTGATCATCAGCATCCTCAGTTTCTTCATCAACTGGAAAAGGATGATAGAGTTATCTAATAAATGTTGAAATACACACACACTTAAAAAAACAAAAACAAAACATAAATCTGACCAGACTTCACAAAGCTGCTGATGTAAACATCCCCAATGTTTGAGTGTTAGAGAATACCTAAACTCAGTTTAACCATGACAGTAACAGATAATGTCTAGCACTATAGAAATCTTGACTCACCCTTTGTTTTCTTGCTTGATGTCTCATTTTCAGTGCCATAGCTGTTATCATCATCACTGGGTTCTTCAGAGAGCTGTTTTCTCTTTCTGTCCTTTTTCTTTTTGTCCACCATTTCTTTCTCCAGCTCTTGTGCAACTGTATTTTCAGCACCTTTTGTAGCTTTCCCATTCTTCTGCTGTCGGGCCTCTTTGCGTTCCCGTTTGTTCAGTTTTTTCTTCTTCTCTCCCTCATCACTTGGGTGGCCATTCGGCTCTTCTTTTCCATTAGTGTGTACTTTGACTTCAGCCTCTGTCTGCTGAGCTGGCTGTGGGGGCTCTGAAGCCTGTCAGACAGTGGCAGTTAAAGACAATCACTACAGCTATTGTAAACATGCTAGACTCTTTATTTTTATGGCAGACTTGATGTTAAAAGGAGCAGTTTGCTTCCACTCATTTCCTGGTAACATTCAAATTTAATAAGCACAGATTCACAGAAAAAACTAAAAACATGAGAGCTAACAAGCCTAACTTACGTTATCAGCTGCAGCAAGTATATTCCACACTTCCTCCTGCAGACTGGGGTTTGGTATTTTGAGACTATTTTTCATCCAGTTCTGATGGGAAAAGAAAAATGTGACAGTGAATCAACATTAACGTGAAAACGGATTACTTTGTACAGTTTTAAGTAATACTAACCTGAAACTTAGCCTTCTTTCTTGGTACGTTATCGTAAGTACTGACTTGCTGGAGGACATCTCTTAGCTTTGCACTGACTCCAGGTTTGTTCATGGCTTCGTGGACTTTCTTCAGTAAAAGGACATAAAGGCAGAACAGTTGGCTCTCCTAAGTGATCCAAAAGCTTTACAGTTTTTCTTTTTCTTCCCTGAATCTTACCTGGATCCACTGCTGCTGTTTCACATCTCCTTTGTTTGTTTTCGCCTCGTAGCCTTTGCCTCCATACTTCTGATCTTCACTGATGCATTTAATGTGGGTTTTGTAGTCATCGCCCCTAGTAGACAAACACACACAAATCGTTAGCACCGAGGCTGATCTAGCGCCTGTTAGCCTGGGCTAGCAGTAAACCGTCATTAATTACCAGAAGTCTTTTCCACAGTCAATACAGGACAGGACCTGGCAGCCCCGGCAGATATTTACATGTTTATCAACCTGAGCTTTTTTCAGGGACTCCCCACAAGCGTTGCAGGTGAAAAACACCATATTCAAAGACTCTCTTGTTTGGCTAGAGTGCAGCGATAACGGTCAAAACTGAACCGGCCTAGACTCTGCGGCACCGACCTATAAACCGGAGTCGGTTAAACTCTCATGCGAAAGCTGAACGCATGTGACAGCGCTGATACGAGCTAACGTTAGCCAAAGAACGGCGGCAGACCCGGGTCCCCTAAAACTGTAAAACACTACAAAATCAAACCCTCTCCTGGGAAAAGTGGAGGTCAAAACGGTGTGAGCCGACGGATTAAATCAGTTGCCTCAAAATCGTATTTGAGCGCAAACGTTAAGCGTATTCGTTATATTCCAAACTTTTTCAAACACACATTAGGGTACCACTACCCGTACCGGAAACCTGATCGGTACCACGCATGTGCGAAAGGCTACTACTTCCGCTCGAAGCATTTTACGATAGCTACGGAATATATGTTAAGATGTTAACAATAATAAGTATCTTTTAAAATGTTTTCAGTGATGAAACATTTCGATATAATGTAGACAAAAACTAAAAAAAAAAAAAGATAGTTACGGATCAGGACTCCCCGATCCGTACCGCGCATGTGCAGATGTTCTCTTCTTCTCCGGTTTCGTTTAATGGCAGTTTACTCCCCAGTGTACGAGGATACCGCCACTTGCTGACCGAGCGAATGAGCACTATTGTAAACTGAACCAGCGTCATTACAAATCGTGTTTGTGTACGGGTTAAATTTGATTTAGTGGTAGTCGAGTGTGTTTATGATTGTCTGTGTGGAGAGGATTGATTGGAATAGTGATGATGATGTCCGCCATCACTGTCAATTGTCAGTAAACAGTTAATCTGTCTGATTAATCTTCACGTGACATATTATTAAATCTGTATTATTAAGTATGTAATTAATTAGGCGCCATTCTTCTCATTTTACCGTGCTGTTATTCAAGAAAGGGAGAAAAGCAAGAATTTGTTTATATACGGAGGTATCCATTGTTTAAATGTCCCGGGCAGTCCCGGGCTGTCTTTTTTCTTTTTTTTTAAATGAACTTTATTTATAAACAGCAATATAACATGTGAAGCATCCAAATATCCTCGGTTGAGCGGTACAACGAGATAAGAGAAAACAATGAAGATAAAAGGACATTTTTATTTATTTATTTTTTTTTTAAAAACTGTCATTGTAGGATTTGAAACCAAAGGCACAAATAATATGAATAAAAAAGGGGCAATCATGATCATTAAATAGGGAGGTATCCTTCTAACATACATTAAACTTTTTAAATAATACAACAATTTTACAGGCTTACTTGTTAATCACAAGTTTCAGCGACTTAGCCCAAAGTTTAATGTCACTCAGCCATCCGTTTATACATGGTTTAGCTTTAAAGTATCTGCATTTGTGAATAAAAAAAATTCCCAGTAACAAAACCGTTCTAATCATCAAGTCAAAATCTGCATTCTCAGCAAGCATTTCAAATTTTATTACGGTCACCGTCAAATGGGGTAACTGAATTCCCCTGGACTGTAGCCAGCTCCACATGTCATTCCAGAAGCAGTGCACTGATTCACAGTAGAAAAACAAGTGATCCAGACTTTCAGTGTCATTTCCACAAAATGTACACACATCTAAGTTAAATTTCCGTCTTAAAAATTCATTGGGTTGGGTAAATCTCATTTATGATTTTAAAGTTAACCTCTTTTACTTTAGCTTCCATGGTCTCAAATTCTATAAGAATATAATTTCTTTTAACTGGATTAGGACAATTTTCATTTATCAAAATATTCCTGATTACCTTATTTACAAACCTGCTTTCACCAGATTAAACTCCAGCTATTCAGAGCTGTCTCAGTCCAGGAGAGAACGAGGGATCAGAATCTTGAGTCGTGCACACTATTGTTTCATTTAGTGTGTATCCATGAGATTCGTACAGTAGGTCCAAGTTGTACCTTGAAAACAGGAACGTCGTCTTTCATAACTTTAATAGCAGACTTGTACAAAGTGAGGCTTTGTGCTCACATTTGCTGCAAACACTCGTTTTAATTCTGTCACCCTGTTTTGATAAAGAATTCAGTTAAAATCAGGCAACAACAGGACTTTCTTTTATAATGTGTTCTTGTGAATTGATTGTGTATCGCATACATTTGATTTGGGTTGCAGTTCTTATTTCTGCAAGACAACAGTCATCTGCTGGCCAAAAAAGTTTTCCAAATACCTCCACGTGATCAAGCCTGGATTTAGAAAAGAACAGCAAAAAAAATCTGCACCTCCTGCTTCAGATGGAATTTTTGTTTGTGTGTTCAGAGGCTGTGGCAGGAGGCGAGACCTTGGCTCAGCTGGAGAGCCTGACCAGGAGGAGTCGAACATTACCCTGGCTCTTCCAGGGCACCCTGCAGGCTCGGCTGCTGGCATTGTCGAGGGAGTGCAGCCGCTGCTGGGATGATGTGAACGCCAAACTGGAGTCCATCACAGGTCGACTGCAGGTATGTGAGTCAGACCTTCTGAGGAGTGTTTCACTTTTCTCTCTTCTTTTCATTGACTCTTTTCTCTCTCTCTCAACTCCTTGTCTCAAAGTGGGAGGGATTTGAAGCACAAAGAGAGGAGCTTGTCCTTTGGTTGGCTGATATGCATGACCACCTGAGTGAGGTTGACCAGCTGACAGGAAACACCTGTGAAAAACTGAGACAACTGCAGGTGTGGGGTTGTTTTGATATGACATATGTTTGATATGATACATACGTCAGAGATATCCTAAACTGGACTAACAAAGGACCATGAGTCCAACATGAAACTTACCTTACATAAGGTGAGGCTGAAGTTCATTGATAATTTTAATCCAAAACTTGTTGTTGAAATATTTTTACTGAACATGCAAACATCTGCTGATGAAAATGTGTTGATTTATTGGTCTGTTATGAAGCTATTGCTATTTCTAAAGTGTTTTTATCACTTTCTGATGTTTTATTAATTAAAAATTACATGTATTAATTGTTGTGTTATCTTAGTATAGTTTTTATATGTATTTATTTATAGTCTAGTAAACATATATTTAATTATTACTGTTTAAATGACTAATATGTGACATGTATTAGTAGTGATGTTGTGCTGAGGTTTAAAATGCCTTTTTTGGTATACTATGAAATGGCAATAAACCACTAATATATGTCTATGTGCTCATATTTATTTTACCCTACTCAAATTTAATTTATCATACATTCTATTTTGAAAGATTTAAAATGGTTCATTAAAGAATTACTCAAAAACGGTTCCTTAAAATGTTTTTAAAAGAACCGTTTTAAAAAAAAAAGGTTCTTTGAAAAACCTTTAAATTGATGGAGTTACAAACTAAATCAGGTGATCTTTACCTTGAGAAAGCCCAGGGTGCCATTATAAGATCGAGAGCAAAATGGTTTGAGGCAGGTGAAAAAAAACTCATCATATTTTAGTAAGCTGGAAAAATGTAGACGGCAGAGAAATTTAATCACAAGCTTGTTGATAAATTGGACTGAATGTTAAGATTTCAGAGGGAATGAAAGGGAAGTCTTCACTTTCTATTCCGAGCTGTACTCCTCAGAATATTCAGCAGCTGATGCTGATAGTTTCTTTAATAAGATTCATAAGCTTATCCCATGTATTGACAAACCTTTTAAAGATCTGTGTGATTCAGAGCTTAAAATTGAGGAACTGGATTTAGTGGTCATGAAAATAGCATTAAAAAAAGTCCCCAGGGACAGATGGACTCACTGCCAATTTTTATCAATTCTTCTGGAAGGACCTAAGAACCTTATTATTTGATGCATTAAAAGAATCTATAGAGAAGAAAGAACTGATGCCAAGCATGAAACAAGGGTTGATTACCCTGGTCCCTAAATCGGGTAAGGACAAAAGAATTTTAGACAATTTAAGACCCATCACCTTACTAAACACTGACTATAAGATCCTGTCTGGAGCTGTATCTGAGAGGCTAAAGAAAGGCATCTCAAACATTATCAGTGAAACACAATTAGGTCTTTTGAAAGGAAGACTAATTCATAATAATATTAGCCTGGTTTTGGACCTCCTTGAGTAAAGTGAAAAAATCCAAGAGAGGGGATACATCCTGTTCTTGGATTTTTATAAAGTATTTGACTCAGTTGAACATATGTTCATATTAAAAAAGCAGTCTTTTTGGTTTTGGAGAGGAATTTATGAATGTTATAGAGATGTTATATAATGACAACAACAACTCTGTTTTGCTAGAACATGGTACGTGTTCAATGTTTGAGGTCAATAGAGGAATAAGGCAGGGATGTAGCAGCTCACCACTTCTGTTCATCATGGTTGCTGAACTGTTGTCTATTCTGATTAAAACAGTCACATTGACGGGTTAACTGTGATGGGTGAACAGATAATAATCAGTCAGGTGGCAGATGATACCACCCTGTTTTTAAAAAATGAGGACTAGATTCCTTTAGCCTTACAGCTTCTCCAAAGCTTCTGGCCTACAGATGAATATTTATAAATGTGAGATACTGGCTCTGCATGAGTGTCCCCTGCAGTCAACAAGTAATATACAGATCAAAAAAGAGGTGAAGTATCTGGGCATCGTAATTTCCAAGGATACGTTATTAACAGAAAATAAGAATATCTGTACCAATATAGAAAAACGTAAGTCAATTTTAAACAGGTGGTTGCAGAGGGACATAACTTTGTTCGGGAGGATTCTGCTAACCAAAATGGACAGTCTACCCAGCCTAATCTATCCAGCCTTTTCTCTGTCCACATCTCCAAAACGAATTAAATCTATAAATCTTAATTTTAGGTTCATATGGAGGAACAAATGTCATTATATAAAGAAAAATTATATGATTAAAAACTATGAAAAGGGTGGGGCTAATGCCATTGACTTTGATGTTATGAATGGTGTACTAAAATTGAAATGGTTAAGATCTTTCATTGGGAACAAAAATTCCTTTTGGAACATTATACCCAATATGATTTTTGGCGAAATGGGTGGAACAGACTTTTTGTTACATTATGACTTTGTTTGCAGTTCGTTACCTGTTAAACTCTCAGCTTTCCTTCAGCAGGTCCTTCTTTATTGGGAATTTATTTATAAACATAACTTTACTCACAATACCCCTATATGGAACAACAGGTCTGTCTGTGTAGTAAATCTGTGTACATGGATGAATGGAGGGATTCAAATTATCCCATTTACTTTAAATATGATATTGTTTGGAATGTTTCTGAAGGAAAAGAAAGTCAATTGTGGTGTTAATGTTCTATTAATCTTGTGTAAGCAATATATACATAAATGTCATTTTTAAGACCAAACCAACCTTACTTCACTGGAAAAACGACCTGAACCTGTTATCTAAATCTTTGACTTTCGTTAAAAAGAAAAAGGCTGCATTTTTTGTTTCCCTTTTGGAAGATTTTGATTTAGTGAGTTAATATTC